AATGGTGACTGCGCGGTTGGAGCGTCAGCGGTTTCACTGTGCTATCATCCGACAGCAGCAGGGCTGCATCCTCTCTCCTCCTCCGCGGCCGCTAGTACTCGAGGCATCCCCTCCCCGGCGGTCTTCTCCTCGTCCTCGCCGGCTCAACAATCTCCGTTTGCTCTTGCGGACTGCTTCAAGCTCAACAACAACAGCAGCAGCAGCAGCAGCAGCAGCACTGGCATCGTCTCGTCGTGTGGCTTTAGGGTAGTCAAGCCGTTCGCAGAGGTCCGATCCCTGTACGCTTCTTCTTCTTCTTCTCCTTCGCCTTCCCCGAGGTCCCCGAGGTCGTTGACAACCGAGATCCCGTCGTTCGTCTTTGACCCCAGGAGCCAGTCGCATGCCGAGATCCCGATCCCGACGAACGATATCCTTGCGAAGGAGGCGACGGAATCGAGTACGCTTTCGCGCCACCACCGAGGGGAACGCAGAGAGGACTGCGGGCATCAGCGTCCGCCGACCTCTTCGGAGTCGGGATCACGAAGGCGGAAGGTGGGGGACGGTGAGGGGGAGCAGTGCCGGGCGGCGGAGACTGCCGCTGCTCGGAGTCGGCGTCAAGAAGACGAAATGGGAGTCGGAGGTGGTCTTGTCGCAGCTCCGCGTGCGGGCGGTGGGGAGGAGGCGAGAACGACACCAACGCTGCCGACCTTTGCCTTCCCGGCGAGGCGGGACTGCGAAACGACGGCGGCGGAACCTCGACCTGGAGATCCTCCTCAAGACCATCGTCACGACGACGACGAGCGCGACGATGGGCTACTGCTAACCACCACCTCCTCTTCCAGCGTGTCATCGGGATCCGATTCCGTCGAGGAGACGATGACGCTGGTGAGTGCAGGAACAGGGGCTCGGGGCGATAGCAGAGGCAGCGGCGATGACAATGCGGTTTTGCAAGGAGGAGGAGGAGGAGGAGGAGGAGGAGGAGACGGGCCAACGACCGGGATGCTGATCTGTGACGGCAGTTCCGAGGAGAGAGGAGCAGTAGGAGGAGAAGGAGGAGAAGGGGGAAGGGAGAGGAGGATGATTTGCGACGGCAGCTTCGAGGATCGAGGAAGAGGAGGAGGAGGAGGAGGAGGAGGAGGAGGTGGTGGTGGTGGGAATCAGAGTCAGCCGGGGGGGGAGATGAAGCGAAAACGAAACTTGCCAGGAACGCCAGATCCGCAGGCGGAGGTTGTGGCTTTGTCTCCGAAGACCTTGATGGCTACGAATCGGTTTGTGTGCGAGATTTGCAACAAGGGTTTTCAGCGAGACCAGAACCTGCAGCTTCATCGACGGGGCCATAACCTTCCGTGGAAGCTAAAGCAACGGCTGAGCAAAGAGTTAAGAAAGAGGGTGTATGTCTGCCCGGAGCCGTCGTGTGTGCATCATGATCCTACTCGTGCTCTCGGCGATCTGACTGGCATTAAGAAACACTACTGCAGAAAACATGGGGAGAAGAAATTCGAATGCGACAAGTGCAGCAAGAAGTATGCAGTCTACTCCGACTGGAAAGCGCACACAAAAAGCTGCGGGTCCCGGGAGTATCGGTGCGACTGCGGAATAGTCTTCCCCAGGAGAGACAGTTACATCACGCACAGAGCGTTCTGCGAAGCGCATACTGGGGAGGATGCGGGAGGGGCGGGGGGCGCATTCGGAACAGGCGGGCTCAACCCGCCGCCTTCCGAGGTGATGAGCCCGCAGAGGCGTTCTCCAGGCATCGGGATCCGGGGGTTCCATCCCGATCAGAGTGAGTTCCGAGCTGCCGTCGATGGATCTGCAGCGGGGTTGGCTTGCTGGCTCAGCTGCGAGGACGAGATGATGAGGGAGAGTGGAGGAGTAGGAGTAGGAGTAGGAGGAGGAGGAGGGCGAGCATCAGCAGAAGCAGCTTCGGCTATGTCGGTATCTCTGCGGCAACACCTTCTGGAGAACGGGTTTTGTCATCCACCACCGGGGCTTGAAATCCTGCCAATCGAACTTGCAAACCCGTGGGTGGTTGGCTCTTCACAGCATTCTTTTGAGGCCTTTCCGCCCACCAGATCATCTTCAGCAGCAGCAGCAGGAGGGGGAGGAGGAGGAGGAGGAGGAGGAGGAGGAAGAGGAGAAGCGGGGGGGCAGGCGCCTCAGGGGCGGAGTGGGAGCGCTAGCTTGAGCAGTTCCAGTCTTGCATTATGGATGGGTCCACATCGGACGCCACAGGATCATCAGTCTATCGGCGATCTCCTGCCTAGCGATCCCGGCGGTAATCCCGACTCCTCATCAGCAGTGCCGCTGCTGCTGCCTCACCACCCGCTCCACGCTGGTGACCATCCAAGGACATGCTTGGGCCAGAGCAGCAGCACGCTCGGTGCGGAGCATTCGGGCTCGGTAGTCGGAGGACCATCGTCTTGCTGTCTCCTGTCGAATCTCCATAGTCAGGAGAACCATAAATTGGCTTCGCCTGTCAACTACAATTTCCATCACTCAACCTCCTTGAATTACTCTCAGATACCTCCTGCTCCGCGCCAAGCTGCTGGTAGTGTGTTTGCCAGCTTGTTCGCTTCGGGAACTGCCGGGCAGATCCCAGTCAAGAGTCTCTTGACAAACGGGGGTGGCGCGGGTACTGCAGCAGGACCATCTTGTAGCGATAGAGTTGGAACAAGGTCGGGATCAGTAGCAGCAGCAGGAGAAGAAGGAGGAGGAGGAGGAGGAGGAGGAGGAGGAGGAAGTGGTGGAGGACATGCAGGACAGATAGTCATGAAGGGAGGGGAAGTAGAGAGATTGCCACTGTCGTCCCGGATGTCGTCCGATCAACACAACTCCGACATGATGATGATGAGAGGGGTGGGGAACGATGTGCTGCGTCGGCACGACGGTTACCATCATCACGTCAATCGTGGGATAGGAGGAGAGTTCGAATCTCCTCCCACCCCGTCTGGCAAGCTGAGTCCTATTCCCGGCGCTCATCAGTCGAGCGCGGCTTATCGGAATTACACGGAGGTAGAAGCTGCAGCTAGTCGGTATCCGGGCCGTCATTGCGAGACGGCAGGAGGGTCGGATGCATTGAATGGAGGACCCGGGAGCTCGATGTTGCTGCACTCTGGTGAACCGAGGAGTTGTTCGTCACTTGGAGTTTCCGATGGAGGAGGTGGGATTGGGAGGATGCCGTGGACGCCGCTGGCAACGATGGGTCATTACTCCGAACGCAATCGGGAGCAGGAGCGAGGTCAGCAGCAGCAGCCCCGGGCTCATCATCGGCAGCAGGGAAGAGCTAAAGGAGGGGAGGCGGAGGAAGGGAGTGGGGAGTGCGGCGGCGCATCATTTGCTGCTGAGGGCCAGGGTGGTGCGCGCCACCATGAGGGAGACGACAACGGCGATCACGAGGATGGCAACAGGTCATCTTGTCTGGCAGTGCGGGAAACGATGACGGCGGCAACGGAAGTGGAAGGAGAAGGAGAGGGGGAAGGGGGCGAGGGAGGGGGGGGGGATTCCTCTCGAGGCTCCGCCGAGGCGGAGGGGGGGCCGGACGCATCTTCGCGGACGGACGCCCTTCTCCGCGCAAGATGTTGTGGGGCTCTTGGGCGAGGAAGAGGAGAAGAATCTGCGGGACTCTTCCATCATCAACTGGCTGTGCCGGGATCGGGATTTGGCTTGACGTGGCTGGGGGGCTCGCCGCAACGAGGGGGAAGTTCGGGATCCCGGGAACGGGCAATCGCAGCTGCGCAGGAGCATCTCGACTCTGGGTCGGTCATTGAGTCAAGGAGCAGAGGGAGGGTGGGTGGAATGGGAGGAGGTGGAGGAGGAAGGGGAGGAGGAGGAGGGGGAAGAGATGGGGAGACTGCAGCAGCTCATCTCGATCAACAAATCCATAATAACATTGAAGAGATATTCGGACGGCTTGGTGACGAAAACGATTGCCGGTGTGTGGGGAAGAACAGCTGCGGTGGTCGCGATACCGACCAAACTGTCGCGGTTATTTCCCGCCCGCATGTGAGCATGCAAGAGGCCGGCGACGGGATAATGCAAAGCAGAGAAACTCAGCTTGAAAGGACCAGCGGCAGCCTTCCTCCTCATCACGAGGACCTAGCCTCAGAATCACGTCCCACTTCCGGCTTTACCCCTACAGCAGCAGCAGCAGCAGGGGGACAGGTAAGCATCATCCCTTCCTCTCTGTTGCCTTCTTCGGCAGCAAGTGGCACAATGTCGTCTGCTTTGACTGGTGCTGCACCTGCCACTGATATTAGCAAGATAGCAATCACAGCAACGAATCGCTCCCCGGCTTCGCTGCAGCGGAGCGATCAAGATGCATTCCCAGGCGATAACAATATCGTGCTTCTTCGAGGTAAGGTGGCTCGAGAGGGAAGAGGAGGAGGAGGAGGAGGAGTGGAAGGGGGAGGAGGAGGGGCAGTGTTGTTGTCAACGAGTTCGGACAAGGCTCAGCTTGGAGCGGTGACGAGAGATTTCCTTGGTATCGGACGAAACGACAAAAGGGTATTTCCCCCTTTGTCCCCAACGCAGCTGGCCGATCTGGCTGTGATAGAGAGCATAAGAGGGGGGTTCAATAGGAGTAGGAGTAGGGAAGGTGGGAATGGGAGCGATCCGAGGGCGGTTTTCATGATGACTGCTGCTGGCGTTCCCACCACATCTGTGATGACTCAGGTCAGTGAAGTTTCTTCGAAGGTTCCATCTCCGTATTCTGCTGATGCTGCAGCTTGGCAGAGAGAACATCGAGCTCCGTCCTACTCCAGTCAGCATCATCATCTTGAGTCTTCTGCCTGCGACGACACCAATCATGGCAGGCCTGTACCGAATACCTGGATTGCACAAGCCTTGTAGCCTCTTCTTGATCGACACGTGTCACAGTGGAGGATCATCTGATTCCCAAGAACATGGCAAGAAGTGACTGAGTGATCTGAATCCGTTTGTGTACAGTCTGTGATTGAGAAAAACAAAACGGCCCACCTTGTGGTCGGCATGTCAGAGTGCGTGCGTGCGTGTGTGTGTGTGTG